ATATCCTGGTCATGCAAGAGTTAAATGTGCAGAAAACTACAAAATGCTATTATTTCAGAGCTCTGAAAAAAATGTAATTTGATTAGTCTATTGGATGATATTCCAAAGAACCAAATGTCTTCCATGAATCAGTCAGAAATACTTAGGAAAACCAAAATAAAAAATGCTTTCTAAGCCAATAAAGGTGCTAATTAGTGCCTTCTGCATATCTAACTATGTCTTCTCCAGTAATACATTTTTCAGGGTTAAGTGCGGTATCTGCTGCTTCCGATGGCACAAGTCCACCTCACAGTAGGGAGGGTGGCTGGAGACGAGTATCTCGAAGGGAAGCAGAATTGGCATTTTAAACCGTGCAAAGGGACGGATTCAATAGAGTGGGAACTTTGGTTCTCCCTTCAATTTTCCCCAAAGCTAATCCTTAGGACACTTAGGGACTTGACTGACTTTAGCTTTCCCCTTCTCCTGGTGACTTGAATTAAGACTCTACGAAGATGTCATCAAAACCAAACAATTAGAGAATGGCATGTGGAACTGAGGATGACTCGGTGAGCAGGGCTGTGTGGTGTTAGACTCAGATGCGTTGGTGACTTCCACCTGCTGCCTCAGGTAAACCCTAAGCTTGATGCCTGAAGAAGCTTGAGAGCCTCTTGGGTAAGAGAAGCATCTTTTCTATCCTGTTGTGGTATTCCCTGTGCTTCAGATTCTTGCTCTAATCAGAGGTAGCAGACTCAAGTGTGTCTAGGAGCCAGGCAGATAGTCGCTAATGAGGCAGGCAGCATTGAGACTGCAGAAAATTGGGATACAGCTGCCTTCGACAGATCACTGCCCTGAAGACACCTGGGCTGGTGCTGCTGCTGGCTCTTCCAAGTGTAAGGGAAAGTCTCAGAATTTTAATCCCTGTGAGAGCAGGCACACCGTGGGCCATCAGTTTGTGCCTCTCTATTTAAGTTCATCTTGAAACAGGCCAAGGAAACAGAATCTGGCCTTGACCAACCCAAACTCAGGCTCCAGGAAGTTTACCTTTACAAGTTAGAAATTTGAAAAAAAAGAAATGATATTTTCACACTGCCCTCTGCAAGACTCGGAGTGTGTCCACATGCTAGGAAAAGCAACTGCTACTTCTGCAAAACCAAGAAAAACTGTGTGAAAAAAGCATGTGGTCTCCCAGAACCTAGAGGAGTTTGGGAAGGTAAAATGGAAATCAAGCAGTCACACTAGTTAATTCTAATAATTTTAAAGCCAGGTTTATCTTTAAAAGTCGCGTCAGTTTCCTTTGGCTTGATTTTTCTCTAAACTCAGCTTGGCAGCAGAGAGGGCTGTTTGTCTGAATGAATCAGCTGTAGCTAGACCATTACATCATTTCCAAAGATATCAAGAAAAATATCAGGGATCTAGGAGGGCATTCAGTAGCTGTACTTGTGTATACATGAGGATGGGACTGAGGGAAGGCCAGGGATGGGGGATCATATCCTAGTTGGTGATGCTAAGCCTCACAGGATGTGGCTGTATGATGGAGGACTGGAAGTCTCCCCACCCCCACCCCCCCAGCTGGTGTTGAAGTTGTAAGGCTTCCATACCTAATCCCACTGTGATCAAGCCTGGTCCACATCACACATTCCACAGAAAACATGCTACTTTTAGGGACATCATTTTCCCCTGGATGCTCCCCTTGATTTCCTGGTAACCGCAGCACTCCTAACTACCCTGCCAAGCTGAGGGGCACATTCTGTGCAGAGCGGCTCCTAGTCTCTGCAGTCACTGAAATTCATAAAGAAGCCCAGCCCAGGGCAAAGGGCTCCTGACTCCGGGTAACTAGTGTGTTCAGATTGACTGCAATCTCTGCAGGGCTGTGGTCTTTGAAAACTTAGCAAGGCTGAGATAATTTTCCTCATCAGTATCTGATAATGGATCATTTCCTCTCTGGCAATTTGAGCAATTCACTGTGGCCACAGTGCCAGGCCCCTGCCTGGATGGACACATTCATTCACACATTCACAGAAACCCACAGCAAACAATTGGAAAAGACTGAGGCAGTGCAACAGCAGCCACACTAGCAAAGCACTCACTAAATGTCGCAGAATCTTGCAATGTTTTGGTGAGAACTGCTAGGGAAATACCCCAGTTCTTCGGGTGAGCTAACCTGGGCACATAAGGGCTCACTCAGTGAACTGCTGCACAATAATAGAGAGAAGTGGCCCTGACAGAAAAAAACGGAGAACTTGCTTATAATGTTAAGTGAAATTTATTTCACTTTCCATTTGGCAACTCATTATTTAATTCATCAAGACAAGAAGTCCTTATGTAATTGCCTAAAATTATACTGTGCTTAAATCTATGATATGATTAATAAGGTGATAAATTAGCTTTCTTTCATGTGCCAACGTCATTTAGTTGGCTATGATTTTGTGAACTTGAGAAGTTCTGAGACTTGATTTTTTTTCAGTGAGCAAGTATGCTGCAATGGATTAGTGATGCCTGTCTAGGTGAGAGGTCTCTCTATTGACTGTTTACAAACTGTGCTCCCAGAGGTGCCTCCTAGGTGAAAACAGCAACTAAACAGGAACTAAACAGAAGACTACAGTGATACATTTTGTTCACATTACTGGTTTGTGAAGTTTAACTATATATATCCCCAAATTACTGTTTCCTAAAATAGCTGCTCATTAAATTTACAACAAATGCCCTTATTCTGTGACAGTCTCAATCAGATGAAGATTTAAAAAGCCTACCTAGGCTCAGTGAAATAGTGGTGTGATTAATTAGTGATGTCTGCAATGGAATAAGATTGGAAGTATTTGGGCAAGACTCACACAAATCCTCAGTCTGCATTGCATCCTTTCAAATGCATTGATATTGCTCAGCCCACCTGATGGGTGGTGAGGGCTCCATTTGCTTTGAAGGGCGAGCGTAATTGCACATTCTTAACTGGGTTAAGAATCTTCCAGTCTTTATCTTTCTAGATCACTTAGCAAAATAACTAAGCCTTTAAAAATCTGCTTTAAATTATTTCTTAGCAAAAACTTATGGTCCACACATAAAATCCTAGAACTTGGGAAGTGAAAAGAGGATCTTGAGTCCAAGGCCAGCTTGGACTACCACATAAGGAGACCCTGCCTCAAAATAATAGTAATAATAATAAATACCAACAATAGTGATATATGAGTATTTCTATCTCCATTCCTTAAATTTGAAATTTGCAGCCAACTTCACGGATACCTTGAAGTCATTCATTGACTCACTAGATAGACAGTAATTCTTGTTCCAACTGAAACCCTTTATCATTTTCTTCTTTTAAAAAAAAAGACTCATTTTTTACGTATTTGAATATTCGCCCCTGTGTATGTGCATTACATGCATATCTGATATCTGAGGAGGCCAGAAGAGGGCACCTGATTCTCTAGAACTGGAGTTACTGAGGGTTGTGAGTCATTGTGTGAGTGCTAGGAACTGAACCAGAGTCCTCCACAAGAATAGCCACTACTCTTAACCGCCAAGGCGTCTCTCCAGCCCCACATTCTTTCATTTTCAACACTTTCATATGCTTCAGTCAGTCAGGTTTGTTCATACAAAATTTCTCCCATCTGACCATGTCTTGCTTGTGGTGAAAATCTTCACTTTTTTCACAGAAATACAGTTGACAACATCTCTCAGTTCATAAATGCCACTTATGTGACTGGGACAGCCATGAGTGAGAAGCCGGTGGACATTCTGAGAATCTGCCCTTGATCTGACTATTTCCTTTCACAGATGTTGGTGGCATATGTCATGACAAAGTCTGGATACTGCAGTGGCCTCTCTGTGGCCCCTCTGATGTCCAAGAGCTACTCTGTCCCAGCATCATCATTACTAAGCAACTGGACATTCATCTTCCTCATATCACTGTTTTGTCCCAAAGTCTTTCACAGCTTTCCATATCCTGATACATGCATATAAACTCCCCTTTCTGACTTTGAAATAAATTATAAGATACTCTATTGGCAGTGTGGTGTTTAGAAAACACCACAAACTAAACAATGTAATCTTTCTAAGTCTCATTTCTTTCTCCATTAAGTATGAAACAGTGTGTTTATTTCAAGAATTTTCCATGAGAATTTAAAGATTATACATGTAGCAGATTTAGCACAGTCACTCACAGTTGGTACAAGATAAAGTACTATTATTACTCTAATGAATAATAGATGTAATAAATTCCTTAAACCTTTTGCTTTTGACTTTGTGACTGTGGGATCATCACCAAACTTCTGTGCATCTTATTGTCAAACAAAGATAGAACTAGTGTAAAGGCTGTTGGAAAGGTCAGATGGTGCAGATGAACGACAGGGCACAGCCACTGCTGACTGTTCCATGCCTGCCCTGTTCTTCTGCCTCGTGCTCCCAACAGAGCACCCCTAAATGATGGTGATCCTGTCAGAACAGCCCCAGAACCATGGTTCACTCTGGCTACAGACACCACCTTGTTCTTCTTTGACAGCAGTGACCCTTTTCTTTTTTCTAAGTATTTTTATTTGTTATTTTTATTTTATGTGTATGAGTGTATTGACTGCATGTATGTGATTGCACCCATGTTGTGCAATGCTGCAGAGGTCAAAAGAGGGCTTCGGATTCCCCTGGAACTGGAGTTAACGACAGTTCATAGCCACCATGAGGGTGCTGGGAATCGAATCCGGGTCCTCTGCAAGAGCAGTCAGTGCTCTTAACCCGAGCCATCTCTCTAGCCCCAATAGTGCCCCTTTTCATACATCAAATTCTAACCATTCTTCAAAAGTCAAGACAAATGTTATTTCCTCCATGAAACCTTTACTAACTGGCTTCCCTCTACGCCAAGTGTTCACGTGCTTGTCACAGCATTTATCCATTTATTACATTCTGTGCTGTTCACTACAGAGATGCTGTGTCACATACCACACTTGGACTCCCACAGTGGTTCATTTGGAAGTGGGAAAATGTCTTCAGACATAAAAGAAAGTGAAGTTTACATCTACCCTTTTCTGTGCTTTCAGTTCCTTCGCACGAACAAGGAATGGTTCGGATGACTGTGAGAGACTACATGAGGTAGGTGAAGAATCAGCTTCTGCACCCTGATCTTTTACAGCCACATCTTTGATAAATGAAGTAGAAATAAGAAACTCCTTAATCCATGGATCTTGGGATCACATTGAACTTCACTCTCTTAGTCATCATGTCTACAGCATTTTCAGTAACCTTGAGAGAATGAGAGGTCCCTTAAATATCACAAAGGAGTGAGAAAGTTAAGTCAACAAATGCTGATTTGATTAGAACCTCTGCATAAATGGCATTCTACTCCAGCTATTTATAAAAAGGCATACCATTTTCCCTTGGTTAACTTTTAAGTTTTTCTTTTATTTATGATTATGTTCATATGTGTATGACTATGTGCATGTGAGTACAGGAGAGTACAGAAGCCAGAGGTGTCACATCCCTTTGGAGCTGGAGTTACAGGGTGTGGTAAGTCACCCAATGTGGGTGCTAGGAGTCAAACACAGGTCCTCTGCAAGAGCAGTACATGCTCTTAACCACTAAGCCATATCCCCAGCCCCTCATCATACAATTTACTGTCAATATTACAGTTTCAGATGTTGGTGGGAAAGAGTAAGTGTCTTAATAAAGGGGGGGCTAGATTTCAAAATGTGGTCCCCAGAGCAGCGGTATCAGCTGGGATCTTAACAGAACAGCCTACCTCTTTCAGACATACTGAGCTGGAAATTCTTAGGCAGAATTAAGAACAGTGTTCTTACAAATCCTTCAGATAATTCCAAGGCACAATTAAGTTTTAAAATTCTGGGATTTGGCTCTGAGCTCTTGGAGGTTAGGAACTGCTTCCTGATCCTGGGTCATCATTGCATTTTTTCAGAATAATTCATAGTGAAAACCAGATATACATTACTGCCTCCTATTGGTTCATACCTGAGGCACTGTTTTCCATAGCTCATTTCCCGGGGAACTCAAAGAGGAAAATAGGAGCTAGATTCAGTGACTCTTATGTTCCCATGGCACTACTGAAACAAGTATGCATTGTTCTTCTGGATATCAGGCCAGGGCTGCCACTGGCTAGCTCTGCTGAACATTGCAAATTGGATGTGACCCACAGATTTAGAAGGAGAATTGAAATACAAGATAAGGAGGTGAGCCAACAAATCAAAGGATATTTTTGGCCTTTTCTCAAGCTCCTAACAAGCTCTATGGTCATTTAAAACTAGAATTCTTATAAGAATAAGCATGTTCTTTCTAAGCCTTAATGAAAAGAAAAACAAAAAGAGCTGAGTCCAGGTATTCTTATCACAGGACCAAAACAAATACAGCAATCCAAGCACAATAACTTCCACTCTTTGGGAACACTGACATTTACGTAGTATTTTTCAATACATTTTAATTTTACGCCAGCTCTCTATTATACGTGATGGTCCAATATGATCCATGGTATCCTGAGCTATATAAAACAGACCGGTATGTGGTTCAGCCTTCTTTGGAAGGACTGTAAGACGCTTTTCAGTACAGACCTATGGATAGGGTGATGCTCATTTCTCTTTGGTAGTTAAGGACTTTGTTACTATTGCATATGGATGTCCACAAGAGCTCTGGAGACTGTGCTTAGAGACTTAGCCACGTGCTATGTAATTCTTCCTCATTGCGAGAACTGACATGGAGTCGCTTCAGTGGTTGTTCGCTGTACGCCTTTCATCACATAATATTAACTTCTTCCCCAAAGTTGGAGCCAAGCAACTTCTTGAAAGGTTCCCCAATGATTTGCCATCTGTCAAGAATGAGACGTTCTGTCACCTTTATAATAAGCACTAGCGGGTACCTAACACTTAAATTCTCACACCTTCTGTAACACAACACACTCATAAAAAGGGGAGCAGCCCTTCAGATGTGCACCCCCCCTTGCAAGGCTACTGTAGTGTTATTAGAAGTGGGGAGGGGGGTCTAACGGCTCTGGAAGACAGCAAGAGGACCCCGGGGTGATCCAAATAAGCATGCTTCTCTGTTTCCTCCCTTTCTAGATCTCTGCATGAGTTCTCAGAGACCCCTACCCTATCCCGAGGGACTAGTTTCAATTCTTGCCATTCTACCACAAGTGTTCCACAAAGGTATGTAATTTCCAGGCACTTTTCATCCAGATAAAGGATTCTGCTCAACAACTGACTTCATGAAATTATAAATATACACTTGAGAAATGCTTGTTGAATTAATGGATGAGACAATTAACAAAGGATTTCCAAACTCTGATTCTTGAGAAAAATATTAAAAGCAGCAGGGAAATTGGAAAGCGGGTTAAGTGTCTGTCATTGGGAAACAGCCAGTAAACAGTTAGACCATCCACTTAATAGAATTCCATATAGAAATAAGAAGGTAAGAGGTACACACACTGAGCTTATTAGGAATATTGTTGGTTCATATTTTTAAAGAGAGAACGCAAACTGCAGCAACTATTACTATTGATAGGGCAAGCAGGTAAAAATGACAAATCATGTATATACCTACATATAAAAAAATACGGAGAGATATCCATATAGTTGGAAGGGGGTAAAGACTAAGGACAGAGATTTACATGTAATACTTTAAACTTTAAAAAGGTGTATGCATTTTATACATTTCTGGTGTAATTAAATATATTACAAGTTAATGATATTTTCATAATGATATAATAATGTGTTTAAAGACAAATCAATTGATAATCATATTGCTGGTCATGGCACTGTACAGTATTTATTAATTTTTATGTCATGAGCTCCTAATCTCAGAAATTAGAACCTGTCAGATGTTTAAGAACTTTTTGTATAAGTAGGTTGAACAAAAATTCATACAATGTGCAAGGTGGGGCATGCCTTTAATCCCAGCACTCATAGGCAAAGGCAGGTTGATCTCTGTGAGATCGAGGCCATCCTGGTCTACAGAGTAAGTTTCAGGCCAGCTGGGGCTACAAGGAGACCCTGTCTCAACATAGCCAAATTAATTAATTAGTTAACTAATTAAGACAATGAGATCAATAGTTAATGGATTAAGTTTTCCACGTAGAATTTAGATTTCTCTTCAGATTCACTCCTCATTTTAACCTTTTTATATCAGTATATCTATGTCAGTGTAACTGACCCCCAGTGCTCCAGTTCATGTCAATGATTAATTCTGTGAGCGAAGCCATTAGGGCCCCTCAGAAGGGTGCTGGCCTACCTTTTCTTCCTTGGCTGAGTAGAAGACACAACACTAGATCTTCAGGTTACATTAGAAAATGTGAACTTGGAGTTGGTGTCAAGGAAGGGCCTGTATCCTGAGACTGTAGTTACAGATAGCAAAATATCTAAAGTGTCTCAAATAAGCCCACTAGAGTTGCATGGAGAGTAAAGTCAAACAGCAGCCTCAACGAAAGAGCCAGAGAACCTGCTAAAACCTTATGGAAAGCTCCAATTCCCAGAGTCCATGAGATTTAAAAGTTCAAACCCAAGAATTTATTAAGTGAGAAGTAGATTGGTATACATAAAATTTCTAAATAATTGATGCTTAATTTCTGTGCCAAAGCAGACTAGAACAAATTGACAAAAGCATTTCTGGTTTCTCAGCCAAGTCCAAAGGAAAAAAAAAGTACAGATCACATTTTAATCCTACCTAGAAATTTGAAATGATTATTTGGAAGCATTAATCCTATAGTGTGCTTGCAGTAATGTCCGTGACAGATTTGTGTAGCTAAGGATGCCCCAGACTAAAACTTTTAAAAAATGTTCTTCTCTGAGTCCCCCACTCACGGGTTTTTGTTGTCACTTTCTGTTTCCTCTTTTGTCATCAATTATCATTTTGCTGTGGTTGTCAGTACACTGTCTTCCATTCCCCATCTTTCTACCCTGTCCGATTTAACACTTGCCCTGTGGGAAAGGAAAAGCCAGATGGATAAACTCATGCGTTTGTTTGTAAAGTACAAGCAAACATCCCTGGATGGGGTGCCTGACTGTCTTTTAAGTGAGTTATATGAGCTCTGGTGAATGCACCATCTGTCCAAGTTCCCCTTTCACTCAAATTCTGGAAGACTGGGTGAACAGAACAAAATGGTTTATGGATAAGTGAGCTGTTATGGATAAAAATGCTCTTTTATTTGTTTCAGCATTCCTGAATGGTTGGACTTTTGGGAGACAGATCCAGTGGAGATTCTCTTGGATCTGGGGTTTGGTGCTGATGAGCCAGACATCTGTACACAAATCCCAGCCAGATTCCTTGGTTGTGGCTCAGCAGCCAGAGGAATCAACATCCGTGTTTTTCTTGACGCTCAGAAGCAGCGGATGAACACTGAGAATCCTGATTTGTATGGTAAGCAGGAATCTGCGACACTGTATCTCAACAACAGCAAGGTCACAGTACCTGATGGGATGGGCTGGTAGATTGTGTGGTACCAGTCAACCCCTCTGTTTAAGTGGTTTAAAACAGAAAAGATTACCTTTGATCTCTGTTATGTCTGCTGTGGTTTGGTGTGTACCTTTGGAAGCAGGATTGATCTGCTGCATGTCGTCACTGATATTTGCTCTGTCCCAACTCTGATCTGGAACATCACCAGTTGCAATGACAAGAAAAAGTGGAAACAGAAACATATTCAGCAACGGTCTGCTCATATTTCATGGTCAAAACAAGTTGCACGGCTTCCTAACCCAAAAGGAGTGAATGTGTGTGATCACACCATATGCTCAGAGGAGGAACACTTGTGATTCTGTTGCTCTGAATATCTACCTAGCCACATCCCATGAGGCTGACCAATCAGGATCTGACAAAGCTTATCCATGACCCAGAAGGCCCATCAACCAGAATCTCGCAGTTTATCAGGAGGCACTAATTGAAACGTTCACTGCCTTCTCTAGAGACTGCTTACCCTGATGCTGTCTATGCCTTAAGATGTAGGTGATAGTTGGTCATCTGTGATATCTACAGATATATGGATTCACAATACATAATCCTTATAGCTATTGTGTATGTTGCTGAATTTTCCCAGTCTGTGATTAGTGGAATACCTTTCTCTAAGGGTCCTCTTGGAGTATTTGTACAGTATCCAAATAATTTTGGAGAAAGAGGCCTGTAGTTAGACAGGTTTATTTACTACAGGATTGATTCAGTATTCTTAGGCTCCTAGAGGGAACATAGTACATTTTCAAACCCATTTAAATGAGGAGCCCCTCTTGGATCTGCAAAGGGTATCTCCACGGAACACATGACAGAGCTTGAGAAAGTCTAGAAAAATGAAAAAATGCTGTTTCTGAAATAAGTTCCTTTACATAAATAAATTCAAGAAAGGAAAGTCAGTGAAGGCGAAGTGTTTTTCTCAAATAATTATCCAAAACAGACACTTCGCTTGAATTTTTTATTTTAGTTTCTGTTTCTCTGTTTTCATGTGTGTGAAATGGTTCTCAGATGGAAGCAATGAGGTATTTTGAAGGGCATGTCATCCTAAAGGTCTTTATGGAAATGATTTTACCCTTCATGAGGAATTCATGTTTTCCCTCTTTTCCCAGAGATGGAAGTTCTTTGATCTATTCTTTATGTCTAGAAAGTAAGACAATAGAATAGCCCCAATCCAATGGCCCCACAGACAGACGGCCCTGGTTAAACTTAAATGGGTCACAAAACAAAACCAAAAGTTATGACTCTGCAAAAGGGACAGGGAGGGATGGATGGAGGGTACTTGATAGGCAGAGAGAGAGAAAAGGTGTGGGGGTGTAATGGCAAATTCTCTCCTGGGAGTCTCCTGTGTGCACTCTCTCTGCTCCCAGGCCCTCTGTGAGGTGCACTGCATCTTTCTCAGCTCCCAGGCCCCACACTGTTTTTATGACTGACCAACAAAACAGACACAATGTCCCCCTAACCTATAGTTTGGGGAATAAAGATATTTATCTGGGCTTGCCAACAAAGCTTATGCTATCTGGGAGGGGGTCACATACAAAGGTACCGGCCAAGACAGTGACTTCCTGCTGCCTTCCCATCTTCCTCTGTGCCTGTCCTTAGACCCTCTGCCTCAAGCAACTGAAGCTGAGGGATTGAGTGGGCGGGGCGACTGTCTCCACCACTGTCTATGGAGTCTCTTAGGGTTCAGTGCTAGTTTTTTTGGAGGACACACTTATCCAACAGGAAGAGAAGGTAATTACAATGCATTATATACATGAAATTGTCAAAGAACAAACCTAATCCAAAAAAATGAGGAAAAGAGGAAAGCCCCTTAACTCAGGTATTCTCCCCTCTGTCTCCCTCCTCCTTCCTGGTAGGCTGTCCTGCTCTGCCTCACCCGCCTCACTAGGATGGACCAGAACCTTTGAAATCATGAATCATTCCTTCCTTAAGTTTTTTTCTCCCAAGTTTTTGGTCATAGTAGCAAGAAAATATGATTACCAGCCAGAGCCCCCCTCCCGCAGCTGTGTGGCCTTTGCCACTGTCAAATCATAGATTTTTTTTAATGCTGGCACTAGGCTCTTGTGGAGGCTGTCCAACAAAGACAAAATTGTTTTTCCATTACCATGGTGTTATTGTATTGAGATGCCAAAAATATATTTTAACGTGTTTTTCAAACTGGCATTGTGGGCTTAAAGTATCCCTTACAACATTAGGACCCTCCCTTATGCTAATTAAGTCAATACTTTCATATAGTCTGAGTATTAAAATATTGAGGCTAGATAATTCATAAAGACAAGTTGAGAAGCTGGTTCATTTAGAAAGTCAAATGGGATTTCTCATTAATTCTATCTTTTCTTGAAAAATTAAGAGCAGAATAGTCCCTTCCTGAATTTTGGACATTTATAAGCTTTAACAATAGTGTTTGTACAATATTTTATGTTTACATATTTGCTTTGACACACAACACAGTTTTGTGAGATATATAAGACAGTCATGATTTTCCAGATAAAAAACAACCTGAACATTTAGCATATCTGACACAGAGCTCAGCACTCCAGGGTAAAGCCTCCAGCGATAGCTGGACTGAGATTACATCCAGGACTTCTGATTCCACACTCTGTGATTGTTACTATACTCTGGAGTGATCATGGTGATGAGATACTTATTGCATAAAGCTAAGGGAAGAATACTCAAGCAGCTTCTACTGAAAGCCTGGGTTTATTTCTTTAGGGTGCATTTTATCTTTGCAGCACTGGGGATGGAACTTGTGACTTTGTACACACTAGGTAAGCATTCTGCCACTGAGGACAGCCTCAACTGATCTCTTCACATGTGGTTTACTACACATAATGTACACTCACACATCTCTAGAGTTTTAAATGAAGTGAAACCTCATAAGAAAAACACATATAATGTGTCTGAACATTAGTACCTATGCATACCTAGGGGCTTTTTGGTAAGGAACACAATGCCAGACAGAAAAGACCTCCCTTTGAGTGGTTGGTGAGAGTGGTCCAGGAGACTCCCAAAATAACACAGGCTATCTTGAAAGCCCCTGGTTATCTCTAAAAACTAGTAGAAAAGACCCTACTGCTGAAGACAGGATATATTTCAGATATAGGACTTGGAGCAATGGAGTAGGAACTGGCCTGGAAGCCTTCTACCTGAAGATTAGTTCTCATAACACTAGATGATAATATGCAAACTGCTAAGGGAGAAAATCAATCAATGGTCCAACCCAGCCCTAAAGCCTGATAACCATAATTACTGGCAGGACAAACTACCTCTATTGGTGCAGTAGTGGCACTGTTATCTGGGGGCAATCAACAGCTATCTAATTGGACTTAAAGCCCTCTCAATGGGAATCAACTCATAGGTGGCACTGTAAACTCAGCCATCTACACATAGCAAGAGAGGACATAGATCCTAGAGAAAACCCTCTCTCTGTCATATCTCTAGACAAATGAAATTTCTTATCATATGCTAAATATGGATCCTTATATTTACAGACTGTACACCACTCATCAGAGAAGCTTCTTTTTGCAATAGATGGAGGCTACTGCAGAATCCCTGAACTAGTCAGACATGGAGAATATATGTCTGAGAGATGCCCAATCCTAGGCGACACATCTACAGTTGAATCTCTACACCTAAAGCTCATTAACATAGCAGAACAAGGCGTAGAGAGAAAACTCATGCATCCCTCAACTCTCACCAGTGAAGGTTTCCTATACAAGAGAGTGCAATGCACACAGAAGGCCACAACTGGCTAGTTTTAAAGAATAAGAGACTGCAGAGACTGTGTCCCTGGATAGGACTCCTATATTGAGCCTTACCCACCCACGGCTCAGGCACCATTTCAGAAGAGGGGGCAGAAAGATTGTAAGAGGCAGGGCTGGCTCATGCACACAGGGAAGCAGAGGCTTTCAGGCACTGGAAGTTTGCACATGTGAACTTGTGGCAATGGTGGCACCAAGCACAGAACCCATGCCAGCTCAATTAAACAAGGGCCCAGAGGGGAGGAGAGAAATGGGTGGTGGGTGGCACTAGACCAAGAATTATTGGAGACTGATTGCTACTGAGAAAGGGAGATTTGCCTTAATTATGATCTCTAGATGGGTTGACTAGACTCCAGTGGGTGAATTTGCACCAAAGGACATGTGGATACAAATGCTTGACTGGATAGGACTTAACATGTATGGTGGAATACATGAAGTCTGGTGGAGGGATGAGGGACATGGATGGGGAGGGGTCTAAATTTGATTAAGAGCTGCTGTGTGAAATTATAAAAGCTCATTTAAACATTGAAAAAATCATGAGTATACATTAATCTATATAGTACACATATTCAACTAAATTTGAAATGTATTAACTTTCCTCCAAACACAGCGATTTCTCATTAGGTAGGAACCTCATCTTCATAACAACAGTTGGGCATAGCTAAGAAAAACTTGTGTTTCAAGAGCTGAAGGTCTTTCACTTCTTGAAAAGTCATAGAGTATCTGTTGTTTGAGTTACTTTTGTCTTACATTTTATTATTCATTTATTTATTGTGTGTACATGTGCACATGTGTGTGCCATGACAGGTGTGGAGGCAAAGGACAATGTCTGGGAGCCCGTTCTCTCTTTCTACCATTGGGTTCTAGGAATTAGACTCAAGTTGTCAGACTTAGTGGCACGTCCTTTACCTGCTGAGCCATCTTGCTGCCGCCTTCATTGTTCAGTTCTTATTACATCACTTACTGCATTAAAGCAGTCCAGTCTCAGTCTAGTCTGAGATCTCTGTATTCCTTATGTTCTTCAGGCCGGTTCCGACAGCTGGAAATCCTGGATCAGGTGACAAATGCCTTTTCATCTTTGCTGAGTGATGTTAACACCCCACAGAGTCAAAGTGAAGAGGAAGCTGGAGGGCAGTGTGCACCGAGCACCTCCGCAAGTGGGGCTAAAGAGCCTCCGAGGAGAATGCGTCGGCTTTTAAGAAGAGCTTCAAGACAGAACACCAGGAGGGATTGTACCCCGGGAGTGCCAGACGACCCTTTCAGGATGGCGAATGTGTTTTCTACTCTCCCGTGGGACTACAAAGTCGAATTACCAGTGGTTTCCAGTAGCCTAGATCGAGGTCAAGTGCCTCCTTTGGAGGAGCATGAGTCTGTTCAAGCCAGTGATGACTTGACACAGCATCACCCCCCACGTGCTCCTCCGGGCAAGCAGTGGTCTTGCTCATCCACACTGGCCAAGAAGAAGAAATGGGTGCACATGAACTTGTCTCACATTGTGGGTGAAGGGCCAGACTCCTTTGAGCTGGAGGAGGTGAGTGCTGTCTCTGCTGTTCAACTGCCGTGACCTCTACCACCACACTGTGCTGCCTCATAGCTTCCTCCCCTCTACCTTCCACCCTCTTGGCGTTGTACCTTACTGTTCCAAATTCAGTTTAGTCTGAGACACTTACAGTAGTTTGAGTTGTTCTAGGCAGAAATAAATCAATATGAAATCAGCTTCTTCCTGTTCCCTTCCTTTTCTTGCTCACAATTGAATTCATCATCTTTTTTACTTTGCTTTCACTCAATTTTTATTATGTATTGCAATATGATTTGTATCTATCCTCTAACTACCCATATTTTCACCTTCATTGAGGGGTCAGTTCAATTACTTCCCACTCAGTGGCACCTGCCCCAACGTTTTCCCTTCTCTGTTCTCAGAGCTGCAACAAGAACTTGTTGAGTAAGAGATGTGTGTGTGTGTGTGTGTGTGTGTGTGTGTGTGTCTGTGTGTGTGCGTGAGTTGCCTCTGTCCCATTAAACCCTCAGCAGCCTAAGGACTGGGGGAAATGTCTTGGAAATATTTCAGCCACAATCTCTTCTGGGGAACTAATATGCTCTTTATTTTCCTTTGGGATCTATTGATGTTGATATAGTGTGGCCCATTTTCATATATGTTCTCTACTTAATTCCATTATCTCACTCATAATAATCTGCAGTATTATTTTTATATTTCCTCCTATGTTTAGCCTTTTAAAATGTATTCATATATAATATATGTAAAACTTCCATTCATCTATACAATCGTAATGACAATCAGGATGGGATGTGAACTTGACAATAACTTACATGATATAATCACAAAGGACTAGGAAGAACAATGCTTTGACCCTCTCTCCATTACCCCTGAGCAGAGTAGGATATTAACATATAAACCCCAAGGTGGGGGCATCCCTGACTGAACCCTGGATGTGCCAGGCACAATGAGTAGCACAAAATTTGTAACCAAATCTGCCTTGAGGGTAGTGACTGAAAGATGGCCAGGATAGGCACAGAAGCAATGACATGGAGAGACGGGGACGGGTCCCCAGATGTGCCTTTATATCACTCTACAAACATATTTTGTGATATCCAGGAAGCAACCAACTAAAGGTATTTTTAACCAGTCAAGCAGCTCAGAGGATCAAGGAACTTACAGAAAGTGAAGCTAAACCATGCCTTAAAAGAAAAAAATACTGTTTAGTCAGAGAAATACAACTACTGTAACCTACCCTGCCCCGCAAAGATATGTTTTCTCAAATACATATCTATGAATGACCTTAATATCTATTTACAAATATATATGTGTTTATACATTCAAAACTATACGCATATGCCTTAAAATATTAAATTGAATTTAAAGTAGTAGTATAAAAATTATAAAGGGAGAAAGAAAACATCTTTGGTCAAGTGCCACAATTTGAAGATATATGATGGGGTGACACAAAAACAAGTGTTTTCTCTTAACTTAACCTAGAAAGGATTACTCGGACATTAAAAGAATAGTTTCACAAATAACTGTTGAATAAGTTAAACATTAAAAGTATTTCATATTAGTCTAAGGATGGCTTCCTTAGAAAACTAAAATATTCTGTAGAATTTCATAACCAATTTCAGTATTTCTTTGGAGATGTGAAATGCCTCTTGTGTATATAAAGCAGAGATGGCCCTAAAATAATATAAAGGAAATAGCCCTTAAAACAAAAAAAAAATATATAAAATATATCATATTAGCACTGGGACAAATACTTATTTCACTCAATACCATATGAAAGAGAAAATGCAGCTTGGGGAGATTGTGTCTTAAACAGGAGCCAATGTCAGGATTAATGTGTATTTTTAAATGACAAATTTAAAAATCCAATTATAAGAAATGAAAAATATGTGTGAAATTGACAGATTTTGTGGCATTTATATTATGAGCCAATGTACATAAATATCTGGCCATCAGAATTCTAACTATGGTTGGCTACATTTTCCCTTATAAGCAATCTATGGTGTGCCCCCTGAAGTCCTACTGAACACTGCATTTGGCTCACATCTCAAAACTCTGATTCCAACAAAAATTGGGCATAGATTTCGAATGCAAAAGTCAATGTATTTTGTGTTTAATTTGATTTAGTAGAATTGAGTCAGTTCATTTCTTTTTAAATTACCAAGCATTTAAATGAATTTAATATTTGTGACACTCATTCAATTATATACTACAGGAAGGATGTGTCTTTCTATCCCTGATAAAAAAAAAATCTTCATCCTTCCTTCTTCCCTTCATTAAAGGATCCTGTAGAAAACACATGTGAGATCATTAACTGTGTTACTGTCTATTGGTATCTTGACTATGTGCAGTCTGTTTCTTTATTTAATTTTTACTGTTCTTTTTTTAAAGAAATAGTAAGTTTGGATCAGGTATAAAGCCCAGGGATGCTTGACATCCATTTAAAATTATTGGGCTTTTTTTTCTTTCATTACTTTTTTTTCATCTGAAAAAATAGAGTTTTGAATTGTACTAAATGGATGCTTCTCAATGATAATGGTTGGAAGACAGCATTCTCATTACACTTGAACATTTTTATAATTCATGATGGTTTGAGCTACCAAAACCAATAAAAAATAATGCTGATAGTATGTCTAATCAAATTTGAGTATAAGATATTATCCCTTATAGTTTTTTGAGTGAAAAATTTTCACTAAATACCTATATACAGAAAAAGCATAGAAAACATAAAACCTATAAAGAATCACTTCAAAATGTTAATAGTACCCATCCTCTGCCTTTCATGTATGGTCTATGTGACACATTTCTATAGTAAGCTAGATTAGTACTTTAAAGTAATCTTTACTATTTTGTTTTGGCAATATTTTTCATCATCAATAATAGGATATAATCTATTAAAGTTAAACATTTATAAAATGTTTCAAATTGAAGTCTATGCTCTCATTTTGAAAAATAAAACATATTTAGTGTTCTTAGCTAGCAAAAAGAATTCAAACCCACCTTTCACAAAGAGCCCTTGACCCTCCCACCCAGAGGTGATCATGCCCTCTGTTGAATTCTCTTAACTTTGAGTCTTTCTCATGAATATCTTGTCCCTGACACCTTCTCTCAGAAGACTATAAGCTATTTGAACTCAGGAATTCATGTTTATCCATCTACTTGATTACCATTGAATAATCATAACTTACTGATTAAATGATTAAATGAAAATGTTTGTAGTGAGATTGATGCATTTTGATGTCTTAGGTTCAGAGCTTTGAAGAAGAGAATGGTAACCCTCTTGACCCGACTTCAAGAACTATAGGTAAGAATTCAATAAGGGATACAATTTCATCAATGATCATTCAGAAAGAGAATGAAGTGCCTGGCACTTAGCTTAGTTCAAATGTACAAAGATTCGGTTATCTCCAAGAGATGCCCTATCATTTCTGTATCACCTGAGCTGCAATGCACATGAAAACTCTAAAGTTCTTTTCAGGATAGTGTTCACCATGCCTGTGGCTTTTGAAGTATGTGGCTTACCTAATGGTAATGCTGTGTGTCCTTAACTACCATAGTAGAAAGGATTTCACATCTGAAACTAAGTGAGTGCTTGCTACTCCAATTGCCAAATGCTTGCACATCATAGCATTTTACTGAGCCTCAGTTTTTCCATGTGTAATAAAGAAATATGCTCAGACAGTTTTTAAGTTCTCTACCAGCACTTGCATTCTAAGTTTTGTATGACCCCGATGTCAGACTCTCAGTGGAAACAAAGCTCCAGGATGCAACTTGCCAAATCCCCCTTAGAATGATGCTATGCATCCTAGACAACAGAGTAGGAAGCTGTTTTTCACTCCTGGTGCGTCTTCCCCCCTCACATTTAACACAGTGACTCACAGCTCCCTGATCTTTAGTGGAGCTGGAAGTAGGCAGAGATTAGTCAAGCAAAATAGAGCAGATGAGGCCAGTGCATTTCCTGGAAGAAAATATGCAAATTTTAAATTTAATTTAGTGTGGTGTCAAACACATCTTTTCCATTACAAAGTGTATGTATGGGTCTCATTTTGCTAAATGCTGCTTGGAAATTATGCATTAGTAATTATAGGGTCCTGCTGATTACATAAATTGTTATCCTGCTCTTCAAGTAATTACCACATAACCTACATCGAGGTTTATAAGACAAAAATAAGCATCTGTTTTCCATCTAATTGAATGTTTCTCAATGAAGCTAGAGGTCCCCTTGTCAATAGGAACTGCCTTCCTTGACATTCAATTAGGTGGTCTACTGATATCACACAAGCCATCCCAATTATTAAAAAACGATTATGTGCGACGCTGGGCAAATTGAGAGAATAAAGTGAGACATGAGATAGTTTACCTAATATGGAAAATCTGGACAAGTGGGACTTTTTAAATTTTTACTCTCAAAAATGTTGGGGCTGGAGAGATGACTCAGGAGTTAAGCTCACTGACTACTCTTGTGGAAGACCGGGGTTTGATTCCCAGCACCCACATGGCAGCTGGCAACCGTCCTTAACTCCAGTTCCAGGGGATCCAACATCTTCTTCTGACCTCTGTTGGATTGTACAACAGGTGTGTAACTACCTACATGCAGGCAATACAAACACAAAATAAAAGTAATAAATAACAATTTTAAAAAATAGTACTGTTGTCAACTGTAGTAACGCATGCCTATAATCCCAGCATGTGGGAGACTAAAGCAGGAAAATGGAAGCTTTGAGGCCATTTGGGGATATTACGTCTCAAAAACAAGAATAGAACAAAAGTAGTGTTGCTAAGCTAAGAAAAATGAGACTGAGATCAAATGAGGAAAAGTAATTAAAGTAATAGAGCAAGAACATTATCAGGCATATGTAATCACTTTGACATAAATCTCTCTATATGTGCATTTAAAAATTTAAATTTCAAAGATAATTTTATTAGAAAGATGAAGGCATTCAGGGTTGTTGGGTTTCGGGGGGGGGGGCGGGCAGGGGGCGATTGTTTTGACCAGCAGACTATGGCAGACGTGAGTTTCAGTTTCAGGAGACTGGCTTATGTTTCTTAATCTACTGGCTGCTTCTTGATCCTCAGATGTCTGCTTTTAGAGCACTTCTCATGGGAATCGAGCCCCATGTTGTGATGCCACATGGAGATGCATGAGATGCCACATACCACATCCAGGGTGCCCTGGTAGACAGCCCTGATGAACCCCCCCATGATAATACGTACAGGCAACTTGGTAGACAGCCCTGATGAACTCCCATGATACCACGTACAGGTACCTTGGTAGACAGCCTTAATGAACCCGGATGATGCTATGCACAGGCACCTTGGTAGACAACCCTGATGAACTCCCATGATACCACGCACAGGCACCTTGGTAGACAGCCCTGATGATCTCCCATGTGAATAAGCCATCCTTGATGTCCAGATCTAGACTCCAAGTAACAACCGCACAGTTTAGCTGACCAGCATGTAGAACCATGGGAGGTAATTGTCGTTTAAAGTCACATGTTGCATACAAATAGTTAAAGGCACATGATAATCTCATAAATATCATTAAGAATATACTGTAGCTCCTCATGCACAGTATTCTGAATATTAGGGAGGGAGACCGAATTTATGAACAGAGTATCCTTTTTAGCCTCTGAAAAGTTATGACTGAAATGAGAAAGTAATATAAGGAGAAGAAAGGCACATACATGATGTTTAAAGTGGGCAAGGCACACCATCTGTATCTCTCAGGTGCCATGAGGAATGTGGAGGATGCATTGTGATCAGGTTCTGTGGATGACTCTAAAGGTTAAAGTGGTTTACTAAAAAAGAAAACCAATATATCAAGAGCATAGTTTCCAAATGAATGCTACTTAGCTATCAGATTGATCATGGCAACATTTCCTATCACTTTAGAAGATGGGAAACACAGACAGAAAATTACCACAAGACTGAGCACTTCAAAATAAGGCTTATCTAGAAGAAATGTACACTACTGACAGAGTGGCTGAAAAGAAACGCTGGAAACCACTGGAAAAGCTCATTCTGTTCAGATACAGGGCCTGATTGTGTTTCCATTAGTGAACCAGCATTCCCATAACTAACTGCAAGCTCAGACAAAATATTTTCAAACTTACTATCTGAAGACCCTGGAGAATAAATAACAGCAGCAGATAGTGGAAGGTTTCAACACTTTGAATATAAGAACAGCACAGGGTAAGTTTCTTCAAAGAAAAACCTCTTCTCCTGAGGCAACTTCATGTGATACCTTTCCAAAACTCAAAGAGAAAGTTGCAATCTTACTGGCCAGAAACAGCAGAAGACAGAGTTTGGGATAAAAATTGAGGGAGAAAAGAAGTGGGGTCTGCATCCCAGAAAGGGGATGGCCAGAGTAGGAAATCCCAGAATTCTGAGTGTGAAATCTGCCCATGTGTCTGTATGGTGCTTGAACTCAACGTGTGTAATGAAGATGAAGAAACTCAGAAAGGCTGAAGGAAGTGAGCAGACTTCCATTTGGAATTTGATCCAGCCGAGTTCCCTGCTTCCTAAACCAATAAACCATTCTCAATGTCCAGGTACAATCAGCATTTTATAAATTTGTGAAAAAATAAGGAAAGATAACCTATATTCACCCAAAAAAAAGCAAGTAAAAGAGACAAGTCAGGAGAAACCCTAGATGTTAGATCCGCACATGAGTGCCTACAGTCATGCTGAAGATTGCAAAATAAAATAGCTCACAGTGAGTAAAATGTCAGCAAATCTCAGAAGCAGATCAGAAACTACGATAAGAGTAAAATCCTACAAATGATACAAATTTTGTAATCCAAAATCCATTATATGAGCTCAACAGCAAAGTGAGCAGGTGATGCCATCCTAGAATCTCCACATCCAGAAAATGAGATAGAGGACCACACGTGTGAGGTCAGTCTGATCTACATAGTCAAACCCTGTCTCAATTGAAAAAATTATTGAAGTTTGCTATTTTCATACAGTATAGTTTGAGGACATTTAGATCCACTCCCCCTCTGCACTTCCCCACACTGCTCCCCCACCCACCCAATTTAATTAACTTTCTTATGTATATAACGTAGCCTATAGAGTATGATTTGTTTTATTTCATTATTTTTATTTTATATGTATGAGTTTTTTGCCTGCATGTATCTACGTGTACCCCTACATGCAATGCCCACGGAGGTCAGAAAAGGGCATTTGATCCCCTGGAATTGGAGCTACAGAAGGTTGTTAATCACCAAGTGGGTTCTAGGAACCCAACCCATATCATTTGGAAGAGGATCCAGGGCTCTGAACTGCTGAGTCATCTCTCCAGCTCCTCAAAATAATTTTAAGCACCAGATCACTTCATTACATCTAACAGCACAGATACAGAGTGACAGGGGCTGTTAGATATGCTTCACAGGAACTGCTTCATGAAGTTACATGTAACCCTCAAAATCAGCCATTGTGATCGGCACTATGACTGCATTTGTTAGATGAGGAAATAAAAGCAAAAGGAGGCTCAATAATTTGCCCCTGTTTCACAAATTGTACAGATTCAGTCCACACCTCAATCTAAGTTCCATAGTGTTTGCTCATTAAGTGCTGCATATATGAGTGAAATTATTCCCTACAGTTAGGAAGCTGGCTCATTACAGGAGCACCAACAGGATACCAGAGGGCCTGTGACTACAGGTAGAGAAATCTAGAAAGCTTGAGAAGAGATGTTCACTCAATTTGACCATTTTCCCCAGTTTTTTCTTTAAATCTCTGCAATCAAAGGATATCTTATAGTTGATGGCTGGTCTTGGTTTGACCGAGGATTTTTTATTTGGTGGTTTGAATAGATGATCTCTAATACTTGGTAATAATCAGCAAAGAGAAAATGAAATGCCGTCTTTTGAACTATTAGTCCTGTGGTGTGCTGTGTTTACAGAGTCAACTAAACACTGGAAATTGGTTCTGTGCTTTGAAAACTGATTAATAGAAAACCAGAGAGACAATCCTGGTGTGACAACAAAGAGAAAGTATTATAAAGTTGAGTATTTTGGTTCGGAAAGTTTAAAGGAAAAGTAGAAGAAAGATTTCATTTCAAAATAAAACAAAACTGGGCTAGAGAGATGGCTCAGTGGTTAAGAGCACTGACTGTTCTTGCAGAGGACCCAGGTTCAATTCCCAGCAACCACATGGCTTAGAACAACCATCTGTAACTCCAGTTCCAGGGGATCCGACTCCTTCTGACCTCCTGGGGCACTGCATGACACAGGTGCCCTTACACACATGCAGGCAATGCACTCATACACATAAAAGAAAAATAAATAAAATTTAAAA